TATAGAGAGAGAGAGAGAGATACATAGACTTTCATGTATGTACTTACTTGTTCAACCGCTTCTTTATGTACTTCCTATCACGTGTCTGTTTACCTATAATATGTTTGTCAGCTCATTGTTGTTCGGATATTCGTGAACATGCAGGTATGTGCTTCCATGAACATAGACGCTGATATGTGAGTGTGTGCATAACTGCGTACCAAAATGGAATATAGATCAACCACAGCCTGAGGCCAGAGACCAAAAGCGTGCATTGTATGTTCAAACAACAGACCAAGAAGGACGACAAGGACACCCTAAACCCTGAGCCCCTAAACTCTAAACCCTAAGCCCTAAACCCCTAAACCCCAAAAAACTCTAAACCATAAACCCTAAACCCCTAAACCCCAAAAAACCCTAAACCCCAAACCCCTAAACCCCTAAACCCAAAACTCTAAACCCTAAACCAAGAGCGGCTTCCTCGTCCGAGCCTCGTTGCCCTGCAGGTCGAGGAGGTCCAAGGGCATCAGCTTCTTCGTGTTCTGCCGCTCCATCACAGCTGTCCTTGTCCGGGTTTAGGGTTTAGGGTTTAGGGTTAAGGGTTTAGGGTTTAGTGTTGCAGGTTAAAGAATCGCATGTCAGACAGGACGGAAGGAAAGAAGGCTATTCATGCCAAGAAAAATATACCCACCCCCCTCACCAATAAATTACGGCAACTTCTGCTAAATAATTCCTGAGCAGGAGCCCAATTGTGAGCGTTTAGGGCTTTATGGCAGCGACGCACCCGTCCTTATGAGAGCTTAGGATAGAGCGGAGCACTCCGAAACAAACTCTTGAATCTAATGATTTATGTTTCGCTGGCTTGTGAGATGCTATGTCCGACGGCCATGCGAAGCTCAAGTTATGCTCGCAACATGCTGAAAGAATAGAGAAAAATCAGAGGCTTCCCATAAACACCCACCAATGTAGTCCGTTGTTTGCTCGGTTCCTGAGAGCTCAGGTGTTTCTCTGATGATGCGTCTACCCGAAAGTAGCAAGAAATAGCGGAAGCTCAGGGTAGGATTCTAGAGACGAGTGCTAGTTGCTATAACCATAGTCATCATGATAGTGGTAAAGAGCCATACAAAAGTAGTAGACGCGATGCCAGGTTCACTGCTGTCATGGAAACTGTAAACCCTAAACCCAGACCCGTAAACCCTCACCCCTGAACCCCGAACCCTGGTGCCAAACTGGAAGCACCCGAAGCCCTAAACCCAGAATCCACCAACCCCGAAATCCCCAGCACCCCCACCTTAAGTCCCTAAACGCCTCAGCCTGCTATGCCTTAATCTCCTGAACCTCTGAAGGCCTGCATCCTACACTCCAAATCCTAAGCCTTGAACCCCTGAAACCCATCTAGACCCATCTAAACCCATCTAAACCCATCTAAGCCCATCTAAGCCCATCTAAACTTATCTAAACCCTAAACCCTAAACCCCTTAGTCCATGTGCCCTTACTCTCTCAGCCGGGGACATGAAATAGCCAACTGACCGCAGCGAGAACAAGTTCTCCGCCAGCGAGATGAAGGAGAGACTGCCCAAAGCGACATGCAGCGGCAAATGCAGGGGCCATTTTAGGGTTCAGGGCTTTAGGGTTTAGGGTTTAGGGTTTGCAGCGGCTGATGCAGGGGCCTTACGGATTAGAACAGGGTTTTGGGGTATTGTACTATAGTTATCACAAGGAACCCCCAACATAGCATAGGTAAGGTTTTAAGGTCCCTACATTAGAGAAGCTTTCGTTTCGCAACTGGTCTTGTTCTGTCAAAGTCAACCCTCAACCCTAAACCCTATCACTCCTAAACCCTAAAACCCTAAACAATACCCTAGACCTTAAACGATACCCTAAACCCTAAACCCTAAACCCTAATCAACCCTAAGTCATCCCACAACGACTGCCTGGGAGCGGTGGTGATAAGCTGGCACAAGTCCGAGCAGGAGTCCATGGTCAGCAGATTCTGCGACCTGCAAGCGCTGTTTAGGATTTGGGGGGTTTAGGAATTAGGGTTTAAGATTGGGGGTTTAGGGGTGCTGGCTTAAGATTTGGGGGTTTAGGGTTTAGGGTGGGGTGCTGGCTTAAGATTTGGGGGTTTAGGGTCTAGGGTTTAACAGGGTTAAGGGTTTGGGGTTTGGGGGTGCCTATAGGGTTTAGCGATGAGGACTTAGGGCATGCACCTCTTATCCTCTAAACCCTAAACGCCTAAACTCCTAAACCCCTAAACCCCTAAACCTCAAACCCTAAGACTCTAAGCCCTGGAGGCCCCTTCTCTCACGAAACCTGGGAGTTCCAGAAAGCTGGGGACCCGAACATAAAGTCGACGTAAAAATAGGGTTTAGGGTTTAGGGTTTAGGGTTTAGGGTTTAAGAAGAATAATAACCCATATAGTGAAACAAGAATAGTAGTAGGAATAAGTAGAAGAAGAATAAGAGCCCAATTCTTTTCTTTTAGAAGTAAGAGCAAGAATAGGGGATCCTCAGTCCCTCAAAGACCCTGGAACATCCTTCTGTACATAGCCCTGTAGGGGTTTAGGGTTTAGGGTTTAAGGTTTAGGAGTTTAGGGTTTAGGGTTTAGGGTTGAGGGTTCATTTGGAAACTCTTCCTCGTAGATCGGGTGAGCCGCAGGTCGTGCAGGATACTAAATACAAGGACCCCTGAATGAGGCAACCCCAGTACACGCTTCTTTATACGATCGTCTACCCCAAGTTCTACCCTAAACCCTAAACCCCAAACCCTAAAGCCTAAACCCTATCTGATCCCAGGACTGCGGCTATTGAAGGCTACTGGACTCGGGAAGGATGCGCAGACGATCCACAGCCCCGCGGTCGCGACAGCACCCAGAAGGGCTTTAGGGTTTAGGCTTTCGGGCTCTAGGGTTTAAGGTTTAGGGTTTAGGGTTTAGGGTTTAGGGTTCTTCATGTCCTTTTAAGCTTTTGCTGTGTTAAACCGTTTTAGTGGCACTTGTAGAGTTCAATATCCCCTTCGTTGAGGGCGGTTCGAATTGTGTTTCAGGCTTGTGGGGTTTAAATAGGGTTTAGGGTTTAGGGTTTAGGGTTTAGGGCATGTGAAAATCTGTGTGTATATATGTATATATATATATATTGTCAACATAGAACCAAAGAGGCTTCAGATATTATGTGCTCTAGAAGGGACTCCAAGAACAGTAGAACTCAAATAATATAGGGGCTTAAATAATTACCTGTATTGTTGTGGGGGTTCCTTAGTACAATAATGGGCCCCAACACCCTATTGAAATTATTAAGGCCTCTATATTACTCTGAGCCCAGGCTATCTTGGCTGGGAACAGGAGTTCTTCGTGGTCAAAGCTGAGCTCTTTAAGGCTGTCTTGGCTTTGGGGCTTCGGGTTTTGGGGTTTTGGGCTTGGGGGTTTAGGGGTTTAGGGGTATCAGCGTTGAAGTGACGTGAAGTTAGGGGTTTTGGGCTTGGGGCTGTGGAGTTTACGGCTTCGGCTTGGGTGGGTTGGGTTGGGGGTTTAAGGTGCAGAGTTTAAGACCAATCTTCGTCCGCAGCCTCCAGTATATACAATACAACTTGCAAGCAGCTGTACAGCACAAAGCCCGAAACCCCTATCCTTAACCCCAAAACCGTTAGACCCGCAGCCTAAACCCTAAACACCAAACCCTTCCCCTGCCTCTCCCTGCCCTTGTGGGAATTGAGGGCGTAAGCCCTGAATCTATGTCATATACAGCATGGAGGGTTCAGGGTAGAAGGTAGGGTAATGTAAAGTTATGCTGGAACACGAACCCCGGACCCTGAGCCCGAAACCCTAAACCCGACGAGCCACCCTAGGCCTAAACCCCAAACCCGCACCTTTCTGTAGACGCCCCAACCCCGGAACCCTGAACCCTAAGCCCGAAATATTGATTCAGGAAGTCCCTAACCCCAGCTCTCCCGAAGACAAATATGAAGTTTAGGGTTTATTGTTTCGGGATGTTTCTGGCTTGGGTTTGCGGTTGTGTATTCAAGGAGCATTCCGTAATGACTGGTGGACCTTTGTTAACATTTACACGTGTATGTGTACACATACATACACACATACATATACATGCATGCCGACATGCATACATACATACATACATACATACATACATACATACATACATACATACATACATACATACATACATATGTGTCTTCGTACCGCAATCAAGAGATCGTAGACAGAAGCTCGTTGCGGTTCAAGGATGATTTCTTAATGGCCCGTATTCACTCGTAATTAAGAATCTGTTTCTACTTGAGGACGGTTCCTTATCGAAGGGGTGTCGTTTTTTTTGTTTTTGCGACCCTGTGCCCACCAAGCCCTACACCTCTAAACATTGAAGTCTAAACCCCAAAACTCCTAAACCCAAACACCCCTCAAACCCCTAAACCCCAAACCCCTGAACCCTAAACCCCTAGTCCCCCCGAATCAGACCCTAAACCCTAAACCCTAAACCCTAAACCCTAAACCCTAAACCCCTAAACCCCTAAACCCTGAACCCTAAGCCCCTAAACCCCTAAACCTCAAACCCTAAGACTCTAAGCCCTGGAGACCCCCTAACCCTAAACCCCTAGTCCCCCTGAATCAGAGGCTCGTCCTGACTTGGTCAACACCGGCCGCACCCTCTTCGGGAAACTCCCCACTCGCCACCCGATGCGAAGAGAAGCCTCTTTCAGGGTGTCGGGTGTAGGGCTAGGGTTCAGGGTTAGGGGTTCAGGGTTCAGCGTTTAGGGTTCAGGGTTTGGGGTTCAGGGTTCAGGGTTCAGCGTTTAGGGTTCAGGGTTAGGGGTTCAGGATTCAGCGTTTAGGGTTCAGGGTTCAGGGTTTAAGGTTCAGGGTCCAGCGTTTAGGGTTCAAGGTTAGGGTGTAGGGTTCAGGGTTCAG